TAAAGTTCGATCAAGAAGGAATTTTGATGGTGGGAAGGGTTTTTTACTTTCACTGCTTTTAGGTTATAGGTTTGAGTTTTTATGTGTATGTTTGTTATTTTTACAGTATTTTATATATTTATTAAATTTATAAGGTATTTAATAAATCATGAGATTAATTGTAATATATACAAGTTAGTTTAGATATTTATATAAATAAATAAATAAAATCTCGATGCATACAAACTTATCCAAAGATCTTCATGTTTTATATATATATATATATTCATTCTGCTCTACAATAAGATTCTGCTTGAACTATTAAAAAATTGAACCATCAATTGCCAAAAAAAAAGAAAGTAAGATAATTAAAATAATTTATTTTGTTGTAATATCATTAATTATACTTAATTTCTATTAAGAACTATTCATTATACTGTAAAGTTCTAAATTTCCACAGCATTAACTTACGATTTACTGTATTTTTATCTTGCTTTCCATCATAATCCTTGAGGAGTTGGTGTTGTAGAAATTTACAAAAAAAAAATGTTTTGAAGATTGATGATTGCCTCTATATATAAATATAAGTCTAAGCCAATGGATTATAGATTATTTTTTTTACTTATAAAATGGATGTAAATAGACCAACAACATAATCAATATATATAGAATATTTGTACACTTCACACCCAAAAATATTTAGAAAGATCCTCCTGCACTTGCATTAAGCTCAAGATTGAAGACATTTTATTTTATACTTCTTTTATATCCTAGAAATTAAAGATTGCTCGAAAATCTTCAAGATTTTATTAACGTTTTATTTCTTTTATTATAGACATAAACTGAAAATTGTATAAGGGATCCATATCACTTTATATTTTCTTTTTAAATATGATATAATGTAGTTAACTAATAATTATACACTTGACTATATTATATATCATAACCACATATGTCTTTGTGAAATATAATAATTTTATTATCAGATAGATCAAGCTTTTTGAGAGTGATGAGTCAGTTTATATATATATATACATATATATATATATAGTCACCTCACTTTTCAACAACTCAAGAAGCAAGAGTGTGCCCTCGACAGGCCATTACAGCAATTGTCCTGTTAACTTCAATTTACAGGGAAAGTTTTTCACCTAAAAAACTTGGACGGTTTGTTAACGGAAGATTCCCCTTGGTTAACGATGCCTGAATCAGTATGAGAGTATGTTAGTTTTTATATTAAAAAAAATCAATTTTTTTTTTGTATTTTAAAATTATTTTGAATTAGAAATAAATTTAAAAAAATAAAAAAAATATTTTCTCAATATATTTATAAAAAAATTACTATAAAAAATAATTACTATTACAATATCAAATAAATTTTTATATACTATTAAATTTTTTTAATAATGGTTGAAGCAACTTTTTTCAGATTTTTAATTTTTTAATATATATATATATATATTAAAAATAAAAAATAAAAATAAAAAATATTATTTTAAAATAAAAAATATTATTTTAAAATAAAAAATATTATTTTAAAATAAAAAATATTATTTTAAAATAAAAAATATTATTTTAAAATAAAAAAATATTTTAAAAACCAACATTTATCCACTCTCAAACATACTCTTAAAACGAACCATTTTAAAATCATTTTATTCTCCTCCTTGAATTAAAGTCAATTTCTAAGAGCAGAGAGAAATCAATCATTCTTATTAATGGATGAACAACAGAGTCCATAGACTTTACACAAAATTTAGAAAATGGAATTCAGTAACATAGAGGAATCAAATGGGATAATAACAGAAGAGGAAGAGAATGGAACTGAAATCAATGAGATTGAACAAAGAAAAGTGCGTCTCATGAGAGCCTTCGTTGAAAGAGAAGATCCCTCTGTCAAGGTTCCTTCTTTTTTTCTCCTTTTCTTCTTCCGAAGCAATATGCTTAGCGGGTTTTTGTTTTTACGAGGATTAATTATTGATAATACAGCTTTCTTGTACTTGATCATGTACCATTTGTTTTGTTTATGCTTTCTAAATTAGATCAGTGAAAAATTACATGTCGAGCGTGCTTTAAATCTTTATACTAGTTGAAGAACAGCGCATACTGATAGTTAACTTATAACCTGAATTGCTTAGTAATAAAAATTGTTTCGAAAATATGATGTCAATCACTTAACATCAGAGAAGCGGCTGCAAAATGCAGTATTAGGCTTAGAGTTGCAGTATTATCAAATTGCACAAAGGAAAGGTGTGAGCTTTAGCAAAGTTTCAACTAATTGTTTCTTAGCTTGATTCTCAACTTTTTTTCCTTGATTGAATTTGTGTTTGAGTCCAGTCATCCACATCACTTTCGTTCTGGGTTATACGTGTTTCTTGTGATTTTCAGGAAGTGGACGATTTGATGATCCGGAGATTTCTGCGTGCTCGAGAACTAGACATTGAGAAGGCGTCGACCTTATTCCTAAAGTACCTAAGCTGGAGGCGATCGATTATCCCAAATGGCTTCATATCTCCATCAGAGATTCCAAATGAACTTGCTCAAAACAAGTTGTTTATGCAAGGGGTTGATAAGCAGAACCGTCCCATAGTTGTGGTTTTTGGTGCCAGGCATAAGCCTTACAAAGGAAGTTTAGAGGAGTTCAAGCGTATGTAGTAAACCTGGAAGCTGCGTATTTTATTTTTGAATCCTGTGGTAACGCAGATGAGAACCGATAGTTTCAAAATTGCCTTGTTCTCTATCATCGACCATAAGAGAACAATTTTTTTTTTTTTTTTTTTTTAAGATCTGACATGGCAAAGTAGACCCGTGTAACCGTGCTCAACTAACATGGGAAATTTCTTTTCCTTGCAGGTTTTGTTGCCTACACTCTCGAGAGAATATGTGCCAGGTAATTCTGTCAGTCACAAAATTCTCGTCTCTGCTACTTTTGCTATCCTGGAAAATGATCTTTGGAGGAGAGGGCATCGGTTATTTATTTGAGTTACAGTATCAGTGCAGTAGTGATGCCAATATGTTATCATATCAATCTCATTCTATCTGGCTCGTCCTAATAAAACAAAACTAACAATTTATTTGAGCAAGATAGCTGGGTATGTGTACTAGCACTATACCCTTAGAAATAACAATTTCTAATGGAATCCAATCTAATAATTCCTTCTCGATCTCACAAGTCTCATAGAACCTGGTCAATTTTGTTATTCAGTGTTGGTTTTGAGCAAGCCAATCAAGCTTATGCAACATCTTGGGTTTTACAGAATGCCAGCTGGACAGGAAAAGTTTGTGTCCATTGCAGATCTTGAAGGGTGGGGATACACCAATAGTGATATTCGTGGATATCTAGCAGCATTATCAATATTGCAGGTTTGATGTCCCGTCATGCAATATTTCCATAAAAGCTACTTCTAATTTGTTGCATTTACTAAATTAAAGAGCCATACTGATCATAGCTCGCTTCACTTGCTTTAGTGCATCTTAAAATGAGCATTTAGGTGACCTTAAGATACACCACAGTGGTATAGTTGTACAAAAAAATTGCTCTGGCTGAGATGCTCATATCAGCAGCCTGAATTTTTTGTTTTTGTTTTTGTTTTTTTGACAGGATTGCTTCCCAGAGAGGTTAGGTAAATTGTTCATAGTTCATGTGCCCTACATATTTATGACTGCATGGAAGGTTGTCTACCCGTTTATTGACAGCAAAACCAAAAAGAAGGTATGGAACATCTTTCCTTGCTAGTATGCATTTTCCTACGTTTTGATTGGACCAGCAACAGCTGAACATTATGGAAACAGTTCCGCCAGCTTTATATTTTCTCGAAACATTCTGCAAATCTAAAAGCGAAGAGTATGAAGAGATCTGGATGGTGCCAAGAACGTTAATATACGAAAATGTACCCAAGGAAACCAACAACCTTTTTATCAGACAGAATCTCGAAAAGATGATTCCTGTTTTTGCTTATTTATTTTGCCAAAACGTCTAATTGCCAGAAATTCCAGAATCTTTAGATTTTTTTTTATTTTTTATTATTATTATGATGGTATACAGACTTTGGATTTAGACTGCATGGAGACAAGCCACGTATGCAGGTTGGCAGTTTTGGCCCGTCTTTTCTTTACCTTAATCCACCCCTTGTGACTGAATTTTTTTTGCAGATAATCTTTGTCGAGAAAAAAAAACTGAGATCCACTCTGCTTGGCGACATTGATGAGAGCCAGCTCCCAGAAGTATATGGAGGCAAACTGTCATTAGTTCCTATCCAAGACGACTAGCTAATTGATTTGCTGGTTAAATGACACACCAAGTTCCGGTTATCTGCTCCACAATTCACAGGCGTTGAGAAGTAGACGACAATACCTTTTTCTTTGGTGAATTTGAGAACTGGACACGAGAGCAATAGTAATACCTTTATCTGCGTTATTTTTATGTTATATGAACTCTTTTTTTCTTGAATTGGATGCTATGTGAACTCATGAATGGCCTATATAGCAGGAAAAGAAAATATAAATCTCCCACAATAAATGGAAATTCTGGCAGATGATTTTTCAATCCATTTAACAGCAAAATGTTGAATAGAAAGCATTCATAACCAAGCCTCCATCAGCCTCTTGATATAATAAAACTTTTTTGAATTTAAGACGAGCCACTGGTTCAAATCTTGTTCATTGACCAGCAGCCGCTAATTAATATCCATTGCGAGTTCTTTCTCCACGCAGTACGCCATGAAGATACTAAATTATGCATCCAAATTTCCAAATAGAATCCGAATTCATGTATTTTTCTGGCAGCCACATCCCCCCTCTGGGCCAAGATGTTTTGAGAACGGTTGTAACCCTGCGCTTGTATTCCTCCAAGACCAGTGTGCTTCATGCATGATCAGCAAGCACAATTCAAATCCAGCTAGCATTTGAGTAAATGCAGCTAGCATGATTCAAGTCCAGAAGTCTCCCAATGTCATCTTATCGCACTTTAAAATGTAAATGAAAGATCAACATTGCATGCCCGAAGAGAACTTGACAGCTAATAAGATAGCAACCATCCCAAGTTCTGATTATTTAGTGGAATGAATTCTGAGTACAACTACACTGAAAATACCCAATAAAATATCAAGGTGTATTATTCAGAAAAACATAGCCCCGCCAGTTAAAAGCGAAGATACACAATCCGAATTGATAGAGCATTAAGTGAACATGCCAACAGTTGAACAAAACAAATTTGCAAAAATGCCATCAGTGTTTCGCAGCTGTAGAGGACAATATCTATTATAACATCCCATGGGAAACTAGAGCTCCATAAAAGAGTTCTTGCAGGATTTCTCATCCAATAAGTAACTTGTTCTCCTCCATGAAACTGTAAGTGGGGACCTCTAAATTATAGGGTGCTGGACCCTTGCGAATCCTGCCAGAGATGTCATAGTGTGAGCCATGGCAAGGACAAAACCAGCCACCAAAATCACCAGCATTAGGTAATGGAATGCACCCCAAGTGGGTGCAGACCCCAATAACCACAAGCCATTCTGGATTCTTGACCCTGGCAGCATCCTCCTGCGGGTCACGAAGGGATGCAAGATCAACACTGTTAGCTAGCTTAATATCATCCTCAGTTCGTCTCCTGATGAAAACTGGCTTTCCACGCCACTTCACTGTAACAGTTGAGCCAGCCTCGATGCTAGAGAGATCAACCTCAAGGGAGGCCATGGCGAGGACATCTTTGCTAGCAGACATGCTCAGAACAAACTTGAGGATCAGAAGACGGATTAAGGAGGCATACACAAACCGGCCACCTGTCAAGACAAAATAGGCAAAGGCACGCTTGCTGGGGTCACCAGGTGGATAACGCTCATGATTGTGCTCATCATAGACAAACTTCGAGGTAGGGTTCTTCACAGCTGCTACAGTAGGCGGGAGATCTGAGATGATACCCATATCATGTCCTGAAGTAAGGGCTCCAGAAGAAAACCCTGTAAGAATTATCAGCCATTGGAAACTTCATTACACAGCCAAATTTTGGACAAACAACATCAAATAACAATATACAAAGGACATAAAGCTTGTGAAGACATTGCCATTGATGCAAAGAGGACAGGATCTTTCCATTGACAAAAACTATTAGTTGAGAAGCAATGACTTGGAAGGGAATATGGGAGTGAAAAAAAAAATGGTACATTAACTGAGTGACAATCAGCTACCAAAAACCCCTATACCCTATTCCTACTTCTCTAGATGAAACTTGTATGATCTTATACATTATTAGTAGCAGCGAGTGCTTACACACACAGCACAGAGATACTGATACCTGGCCTCCCATTCCATTGCTTTCTTATGAGAATAACAAGAACAGCACGGATCATTGACATAATAGCTCCCATAATATATATATATATATATATATATATATATATATCTCAGATTGTAGTTCATTACAGCTACCAAAACATTCACCGCAACTGAAGAATGTATCAGTAGTAATTAACCGCAGTTGCTGGCTACTAAGAATTACAGATACAATAATGATAGTAAGAGCAAACATAGCAAGTGGAAGCACACGCCTCCTTCCAACCGAGAACCTAAGCTATTCAATTCAGTTTGAACTTTGAGAATATGCTTAATTTAATATAACAGTAACAAAAAATTGGTACCGAAAACAAAAGTAGAGCTCAAAACTTCAAAATACTGAAGATTTGAACAAATAATTGTTGATAAAATTCTGAAAAAAATCCGAATACAAAATAAAACAAAAATATAAAAACTCATGACAAATCCACGGAAGATTTTTCATTCAATTCACAAGTTGTAGCAAACACGAAACCCTAAATCTGGTTGCGAAGAAATGGGACATCAAACAATCAAGCACACACATCGTAACACACACGAGAAAAAAGTTGTTTGCGGCAATCGATATTCATTCTTTCAATATAAAAATCCCCTAAACCCAGATATCGAATACATATATAAAGCACGTGGAATTAAAAAAAGAAAAGAAAAAAAAGAGGCGAAGCCTAAATCCAAGGAAAGAAAGAGGTGACCTCTGATTAGATCTGGAGTGAAGGAGAATTGATAAGGGGAGATGATGGGTCCGTAAGAGGCAGCAGAATCACGACCATCATCGCTGACGAAAGCAGTGTTTCGAGAGATGAAGGCGGAGGTTGTCTGCGACTGCGAGGACCTCCATGGTAAAGATGATAGCCTCCTCCCTGCTACTCTCAACATCTTCCTAAATATTCTTCTCTTCCTCTTTGCTTTTACCCTTAGGGCAGTGTGTCCGTTTCTCTACAGTCCAGAAAGAGAGAGATAGAGAGAGAGATCGGTTGGATTTGTTTTTTGTTTTTCCTTTACTTTTAATTTTGTTTTGTCAAATATTAATTAACAGCTACAGTTAGGAATCGTCTGTGGCCTAAACTAGAAGGGTTCGCAACCAACCCTTTCTTGTTTCGTTTAAACGACGTCGTTGCATGGCTCTCTCTACGCATGCTTCTTTATTTCTCCTATAATCACGGGAATTCTTACTTTTTTTCACTAGTTCTCTCCCACTTTATCCAATTTTATGTCAGCCCAATATTAACTAAAGCCCAACATGGAAAATAAATCATACATTTCGATTATTTCATTAAATATATCATTCGCTAGGGTGGAGCAAACAGACCACCAAAAAATAAAAATAAAAAACCTAACTCCATCTATCTTCGAAGACAAACTTCAATCTAACGCTGCCTCCCATGATCAATGGAAACGCGCACTAAATCTAGCACCAATTCCAAAATCAAAACTCGTGAATTATATTTTCCATGCATGACTGAAGCTATGGTAATCTGGACGATGGAGCTTTGTTTTTATTCCGAGTATGGCCTCTGAAATTGAATACCAAAAGGAACGAACCTGCCAGGCTCAGCTCAGTTTATCGGTCCTGAGAACCGAATGACAGATAGAAGTCTATAATAGATAAAGAGCTTCAGTTTACAAATCACAAGTAGATTTTTCTGTAATTCATCAGTTTTGTCAGAGATAATTGTCAGATTTGACGGCAAGACATTACAGTATTGTGTAGTGTAAGAGAGGAGTGGTGGGGGAAAGTAGCCAAAATCCAAGGCATTGTCGTATGCCTAACAAATTAGGGCCACTGTCACGCAAACTCTAATCCTCTACAGATCCAGAGGAGTGGTGGGGGAAATTTGCCCACGCATCAGCCCACGTCGTGTGTCCTTCAGTTACCGACTTCACAACTGATGCTGCTTCTTCCACATTAACACGGATTTGATCCTTGCTATCCCTCTCTCTGATTGTCACTGAGGATGTTGAATCAACAGTTACTGCAAAGGGGACACCCAGTTCATCTGTTCTTGCATATCGTTTACCAATTGAGGTGCCTATGAACAGCATTCACACAACCAATTAAAAAGAGCAAAGTTATGCAGTGCGGAAATTTAAGCAACCTCCTTAATGCAATTAAGAACGGAAATGATGCTCTATGTAGAGAAAAACGTGTCCATATGCAACATGGGGGAGGAGGGTACCAAGCGTTCAAACACTTCAGAGAATAAGATGGGATTAAAACGCCTATAAATGGTATAAGCATCATGAAATTTTAGTATCATTACAAACCGTTTTAGATTATTCTCGTTATTTGCCCTCAGAACATACAAGACAAACCACAAATAAACTCAAAGTCGTTATTTGCAATTAAAGAGCAAGAAGATATATCATATCACTTAGGCTCCAAGTCCCTGCATGGCATGGAAATTTATCCAATCTAAAAATATTTGCAAGCCTTCATTTAATAATGTAGTATTTAGTTGTGACTCTTGGCAACGACAAGAAATTTGCCTTTTACGAGCATCATAAATAAATGTTGCTGGTCTTTTTTCCTTTTTTATATAAATTTTCCTCCTTATTTAGAAAGTTCAAAACAGGCACACTTCAAACCTTCTTTTAATTTTTCAGATAAAATGCACAAACCCAAACATATACACAAACATTCATCAAAACATGCCTAAACCTAAATCACATGTCAATGATTACAAGCTACACGTATTTCTTAGTAAACGATGGAAAATGCCTCCAACTAAACAACAAGATGATTTATCTACACTCACCTGTAATATCAATCTTATGAGAGATTCCAGCAGCAGTCAACGACTTAGAAATAATTTTGGCAACATCCTCATACTGCTGATTCTGGACGAGTGGAAACACAGTGCACTTTATAGGTGCCACAAGAGGTGGGAAACGGAAAACATTCAGCTGCTCATCCCCGGCTTTACTGGACCTCATGTAGAAAGAGTGCTCAAAGAGACAGTAGATTATACGGCCAATGCCAAAAGATGGCTCAATTACTGATGGTGTGAAAGTTCTCTGGTGTTCCTTCTTCTTCTCCTTTGAAATTGATACCATGCTCTTTTTAATTGTCACATTTTCCCCAAGAGTGCAGACATAAAATTCAACCTCCCCTTCGGTTTCCAGAGAGGACTTCATGTCCAAAGCTTCCTTTTCATTCATTGCCTAAAAAAGGGGGAAAATCATACCTAGAACAGGCACAAATAGTTTTATGATGTTTATGTCCACTGAGAAATTTCAGCTTTACCTCCAAAGCTTCAACCACTTTTTTTTGGTTACCCTTGAAAGAAAGCCCCAGCTCTTTCTTCACTGGTGCTATAACCAGTTTCTGAAACCAGAACATTAAAGGTAAGATATAGCAGGAGTCCACCATAAACAGAAGAAATATAAGGACTTAAACTTAGTGCAAAACAAAAATTTGGAAATGAACATAGAATGATGACAGTGAGTGTGATTACCTCCACTTCCTTAGGTTCTGAAAATTTTTCATGGGCCACAAGAGGAACTCCACTTTTGTCCTGTCAGAGAAACAAAAAAAACTCCCATGTATTTACTATTTCTAGTTTAAAAAAATTAAAGCAGATAAATTCTTAGCACTTCCTTGCTGTACTTGTTCTGTCACTTGATAGCATAAGCAGATACAGTTTCATATATGATGCATGCCGAGTTAAAGATGACAATAGCACATACTAGTGACATGATCAGGGCTAAAATGAAATCACCCTCGGAATTCTTCCCTAGCAGGATTATAAGATAAAGACATGAATGAGAGAATTCACATCCACCTATGTGCCTGCTGTTACGCACTGCAGCTGTCAAATTTAGACATGCATATAGAAAAGAGATACTCACCGTGTGAGCACGCAAGTCATATGCAGATCTATCTGCAATACCAACACACTCAATCCAACCATATGAAGACTCAATCTCAGCATCCCAACAGTCTGCAGCATAGTGGGCCATTTCATTTGCAAGATGTTGCCGGAATCGCAATCGGTCTTTGTCTATACCAAGACAAGTTAGAAAAAGATACACTCTCCCAATGAAATAGCCAAGAGTTTCATTGTTGACAATTCCCTAGATGAAACACATGATAGCATCATGACAAAGAGGGTAATGCAGAAGACAGAATGATAATTGAAAATTACCACCATATTAACCTTAGAAACAGCTTCACCAAGGCGAATTTTCTTTGCAGATTGGCCAGAGACTTGTTGTTCTCTTGGGAACATCAAAAATTCAAGATCTGCAACTTCAGAGTATTTTGGGTGAGATTTGTCCTCAGGATCAACAAAGTGCTCAATCTCTGCTAATGTGAATTCACGAACTCTTAAAAGACCTTGGCGTGGAGAAATCTAGAAGTGAGAGAGACCATATAGTCAGATCTGTGAGGGAAAAAACATCATAACAGCCAAGAGAGCATGCAAAACCATAAGACGACTTTCAACATCGTCAATATCAGTGGAACAAACAATTGCGACAAACACGACTATATTATGAAATATTGTAGCTAAAAACAGAATAACTATAGGGATTTAAAAAAATCACTGCAAAAATAACTTGTGTGTGCATTCTCTAAGACTAAGAAAAGAATTAAAACCTCATTTCTGAAAGCCTGGCCAATTTGAGCAGCAGCAAAGGGTAGCTTGTTCCCATTGTAATAATACAAGTCCTTAAAGTTAACAAATATGCCCTGAGCTGTTTCAGGGCACATATACCTTTAACATAAAAAAAAAATGGGAGATTGTTTCAGTACCTAGGTGGAGAAATACAATGTTGCATATATAATGAAATGCTGCAAACTCAAAACACAGATTCAGTACATCATTGTTATAGAAATTACATAAAAGAAATCAAATTTATTGTAAAACACTCACCCAGGGCTCAAACCAGAAGGACCAATTGATGTTTGAAACATCAGGTTGAATGGATAAGGATCAGAAAGTGGATTCTTTGTGTCTGGAGCTGTAATACCATACTCCTTGATTTTCGCACCTAGCTCTTCAGCAGAGAGATCATCCAGGACAGCAAGTACATGTTTCAATTCTGCAGCCTTCTCTGCACTTATGCTAAGATCTTTCTGGATCTTCTCGTTACAGAAGTCCTTAAGCAAGTGGTCCGCCCGATAGCAAGTTCCAGTTTTCTCATCCTTGACCATAAGGTCCGTGAATTTATCCACATGACCAGATGCTTTGAGAACAACCTCAGGCGTCACACATGGGCAGTCAACCTCCAACATATTCTCCTCAAGGACAAAATGCTGCCAAAACATCAATAAATTTCCTAATTAGTACACAAATATGCAACAGGCCTGCCAAATATTCTAATTCCTTAGACCTTTCAATCCAGTTGGGTAGTTTTTTCTTTGCTTGAAAAAGTAAAGTATAAATCGATTCAAAAATTTGACCTTCTGAATGTAATTAATTGCATTGCAATTCTTTGCTATAATTTAAATTCAACATTGATTGATTCAGTTTTCAACAATCAAAGCAAAACAGTGACAGAGCGATCAATCATCTTTACCTGGCGCCAAAAAGAAAGAACATTAGACTTGACGGCGCAACCAGGAGGCCCATAATCATAAAGCCCAGCGACACCACGATAAATCTTAAAAGAAGGGATATAAAACAACTTCCGTTCAAGTGTATTTACCACAGCTTGACGGAATGCTTCCTTATTAACAGAACTATCAGGATTGCCACTAACGGCAGCTTGAAGTTGTTTCTCAATCGAAGACTTCTCTAATTTCAAGGCGTTCAGTTTTTCAATTGCCTCATCGACATCAGCCTTTACAGCATCAGAAGCTTTGAGTTCACGGACAGCGTTTCCTTGAGATTCGATTGAGGATTGTTTCTCGACGAGAGCGCGACGGAGGGAATACTCGGAGGAGGCCATGGCTGCTGAAGGTTTGTGGTGGGTTAGGTTTGAGGATGGAGATTTTTTGGGGTGTGGGCAATGAGAGAGAGTAAATAGTGGCCAGTGGAAGTTGATGAGGAAACCAGGGATTATGAGAATGCGCACACA